AAGTAGAGATTGGAAAGGGAGAAAAACAAAACAAAACAGTAACTTTACAGTGAAGAAACCTGACAAACAAACACTATCTATCACTCATAGGCAGGTGATCAAGGTTGACATCAACAGTGATAAGTCATACGATAAAGTCTACTCTCCATGAGAGTATGCACCCTTCCAGGGTATGATGAGAATGGCGCTTTGCCTCTGTGGTCTTCCAATTAATAACCCAAAACCCCATTCTTATCATGACAAAAATGTCAGACAAGTCCCGATTGGGGAGCATTCTACATAGTACTGGACCTCAAAGTACTCCTGGAAATTGCTGGGGTCATTGAAAACAAGGCAAGTCTGAGAAACTGTCATAACCTAAAGAAGCCTAAGGAGGCAGGAGGGTTAAAAGCAATGTAATATCCTGGATGGGATCCTGGAACAGAAAAAGGACGTTAGCTAAAAACTTGAGGAAATCAGAATGAAGTATTAACTTTAGTTATTAATGATGCATCAATATTGGCTTACGCCAGTTGTGTGGTCTCTATATTATCAACTCCATTTTTCTGTAAATATAAAACTATTCTAAAACAAACAAAAAATTATTGAAAAAAAAGTAGAGGAAGAAAAGAAGCAATGGAAAGTAGCAGTTGCCTAAGGCACCATATGTAGACCTTGCAGACGGGCCTGAGAAACTGTTTGTAATGTTGTTTCTATAAATGTATTTTCCTGAATTTCAAACAACCAATTTATAAACTAGTTCTTGGAATAAATTATGTTTGTAAATAAGAGTTGTATATATTTGAGAGCAGGGCAGGATTTGATGTATTTGAACCCCCAGAACATTTTTAGTGCCATTTTGATACCAAGGATGTTTTAAATTAAAATATTCCAAACAGAGCCTGGTGCGGTGGCTCTCGCCTGTAATCTCAGCACTTTGGGTGGTTGAGGCTACAGGATTGCCTGAGCTCACGGGGTCGAGACCAGCCTGAGCAACATGGCAAGACTTCGTGTCTACAATAAATCAAAAAATTAGCTGGGCATGGTGGCATGTACCTGTAGTTCCAACTACTTGGAAGGCAGAAGTGGAAGGATCACCTGAGGCCAGCAGGTCAAGGTATTGGTAGCTGTGAGCATGCCACCGCACTCCAGCCTGGGTAACAGTGAGACTCCAACTCAAAAAAAAAAAAAAAAAAAATTCTAAACCGAAAGACAACATACATCATTTTTGGTTGAAAAATATTTTCTGTGATAAGTCAAATAAGCAAATTTAATCCATTGATCAATTTTCCATACCGGAAACTGGAATCATTTTCTTTTTTCCATATTCCCTTTTTTTTTTTTTCTGTAGAGACAAGGTTTTGCTATGTTGCCCAGGTTGGTCTCAAACCCCTGGCCTCCAATGGTCCTCCCGCCTCAGCCTCCCAAAGCACTGGGACTACAAGCATGAGCCACCATGCTTGGCCTATGTTTACTTTTATGTCATGGAAACCATTTTCAGTGGGAATAGTTTCCACTTAAATATTTTAATGACAATTTTATTTATCAATCCATATTTTGTCCTAATATCGAACATTCTCAATTGTGGGTTCTTCCATTGTGAATTAACCTTCATAGTCATTTTACTAACAAGTCAGTTTTCACTAAGATTTTATTATTCCATACTTTTAAATTCAAGGTTAATGTCACCATGTTCTCTTTAATTACTGTCCATTTTACATTATTAAAGTAAAAATTTTACTTTTAATGATTTATTGACAATTATCTCTACATAATCATTATGCCTCGGATAAAATGCTAAATGGTTTGTATTTGTTTTTTAGGTAATCTCTCTCTCTCTCTCTCACACACACACACACACACACACACACACACTCAAACTGTGAGCAGTTTTGTGAAAAACAGACTGATAAACAGAAACAGTGCCAGGCAGTGCCAGTAAGCCACAGAGAGACTTGGCGGCTGCAGTTTTACTGAGGGTGCTGGCTGCTTACAGACCAGATCAAACTTCCCTATGATCAAAGGACAGTCAAAACATTCTCAGGGACTTCTGGAGTAATTCAAATGGCCAGATCCAAATACTTCAGTCTATGTGTCACTGAATAGGTTAAGATGGAGACAAAATAAGGGTGAAAAGGGTATGGAGAAGAGAATCCATAGGAAACAGTGATGAGAGCAAGGGTTCTGGTCAAGAAAGGTTCAAACCCCAGCCCCACCACTGAACTCACTGTGCAACCTGGGAAAGTTACTTCTCTATGCCTCAATTTCCCCATCTATTAAGTGATTAAAATGGTTAAGGTCACAGGGATGAGGATTAAATAAGACAATGCACATAAAACAGAGCTTGGCATATCCTAAGTTGCCAGAGAAATGTCAATGTATATGCATGTAAACATGTGACTGTGAATTTGTACCACATACTATGTCTTGGTAAATCAATAGTAGGCATGTACTCCCTTCCATTAAAGGTGCTACTAACTGTTAGAGTCATTGCCCTAAAGTTGTATTTATGTACATATGGCATATTTCTCTTTCCTGTAGTATTACTGTTGCCCAAAATTGATCTACATACACCATGAAACCACCATATGCACAGAAGTGGAGTTGTATAGATAAAATCAATAGAAATACACAATATATGAACAGAAAATGTCATATGATGGAAAAGTGAAAGCTTGAAAGTCAAAGAGATTTAGGATCAAATCCCATTTGTCGACTAAGGGCTTGTCCAAGTTAGTGAACCCCTCTGTACCTGTTTCCTCCTTGTTAAAACAGGAGTAAGTCAGGCATCTCACAGAATTGTGATGAAGAGTAAATAAATAATGGTAAGATGCTCGGCACAAGGAACACCCCAATAAATGCCACACACATGCATTCACACATTCACATTTCTTAACTACTGCCATTTCTCTCCAGTGGACTAAATATTTTGTCAGGTGATCTTTGCCACCATTTTTATATTTTACATTATGTGTTTCAGTGACTTAATCAGAGTATCATACCCCTGGGTGTACCCAAAGACTTTCTAAAGGGTACAAACCCATGGATAATGTTAATGTTAAAGAAATCAATTTCCAGATTTTCAACTTCCACATATTCTTTCCTACAACTGACCTGAGACCTCTTCAAGACCTGTCTGCTGTGGTTCTCCGTTCCTGCTTCCCTTTTCATAATCACCCTTTGAAAGAAAGGTCTCTTTACAAAAGGCATATCCTCACCCACACCTATTGCTTTTTTTTTTCTTTTTTTGAGTCAGAGTCTTACTCTGTTACCCAGGTTGGAGTGCAGTGGCATGTTCACAGCTACTGCAGCCTCTCAACCCTGCTGGGCTCAAGCAATTCTTCTGCCTCAGCCTTCCAAGTAGCTGAGACTACAGGCACACACCACCACGCCTACCACCACGCTTGGCTATTTTTTTGATTTATTGTAGAGACGAGGTCTCACCAAGTTGACCAGGCTGGTCTCAAACTCTTGGACTCGGGCAATCCTGTCGCCTCAGCTTCCCAAAGTGCTGGCATTACAAGTGTGAGTCACTGTACCCGGCCCCTCACCAATTCTTAATCTTACCCTGGTACATTGCTCCACAGTGTAAAAATCTTTTGAGTACCAAGTACAAGGATAATACAACCCTTCCTCTAATCAACATTCCATAAACACAAACACCCCTAGCTTTCTCATTAAGAAATAAATGGCGGGGCACAGTGGCTCACCCTTGTAATCCCAGCACTTTGGGAGGTCAAGGCAAGAGGACAGTTTGAGCCCAGGAGTTCAAAACCAGCCTGGGTAACACAGTGAGACATTATCTCTACAAAAATCAAAAAATTAGCTGGGCAAGGTGTCATGCACCTGTAATCCCAGCTCCGGAGGCTGAGGCAGAAGGATTGCCTGAGTCCAGGAGGTTGAGGCTACGGTGAGCTATGATCATGCCACAGCCCTCCAGCCTGGGCAACACAGTGAGACCCAGACCAAAAAGGAGAGGTTTAAAAAAATAAATATGTTGCCAATACAAATTTACCTTTTAAATTGAATAATATTTATCATAATTTTGAATATATTATTTTCATCAGTTGTGTTCTAATAATAATCTCAACAGTAACTCAATCCAGAAAGAAAAAAGTAACACATGGAGCCTTGCTGTCAAAGGAAATTAAGAACAAGTATGACATACACACATTGCAAAAAATACAACAGAATGAACAATAAAAAAACTCAAGCATAAACAATGAGATAAAATTCTGTTGGGGAAATGTAATGGAAATCAAATTTAAAGAGAAAAAAGAATGATGTAAAATCTCCCATTGTTAAAGAGCTTTGTTTTAAATGAGTGACGGTGGATATTTAATCACTACAGTATTTATATTCCATTGGAGAAATCTCAAAGAATGATTTAATATTTTCATGCACAAATATCAATATTTACAAGCCAGACACTACTTCCTTTGCAACTATTTGAACCTATGATGAAAAAAAAAATGAGATAACTGAATACTTTTAAGAGCTACACAAAGACTTAAAGAAAAAAACTGACCTCTGCAAAGTCAACCTCAAACATCATCTCAGTGTCCTTCCTAAAACTTGAGCCCAGTGTCAAGTAACCGGCCACTAGCTCAAAGACCCTCTCTTCTGGTCCTGACCAACTTCAACCTTTCCCTATCTGCCGGTACTCCCGCACCCCCTCAACCACCCCCTTCTAGTCCCCAGTCATTCCCTCCTCCTCTTCTCCCTTCCCTCTCCCCTCTTCCTCTCCCTTCGCCCTCTGCGTCCCCCTCTTCTCCTCTCCCCTTTCCCTCTTCCCCTCCCCCTCCCCCTTCCCCCTCCTCTCTCTCCCCTCTTCTCCCCCCCACCAGTCGTCTGGCGCATGCGCGCCTCGCCTCCTTCCCAGCGGTCGCTGCTGTGTCATGGCTGAGCGGAAGTCCCGGCCCCACCGGGAAGGGCATCCTTAAGATGGGAGGCGCTTCTCGCAGCTCTCTCCCCTTCCTCCCGTGACCTCTTTGATCCCCCACCGTGGAGGGGCCCCCTACCCTGCACTCTCCCGAACACCTCGTAGTCCACGGACTTGAGTGGCCCGGCGGTCGACATGGCGGCGGCGAGGCCTCTGCCGAGGAGCCAACGCGGGGCTCGGGGCGCGGCGACTGCGGCGGCCGCGAGAGGGAGGGGGCACATGGGGCCGCCGGCGCACCCCGCGCCTGTCACCGCTCCGGGACGCGGGCGCGCCGGGGTCACGCGTCGGGAGCGGCAAATGAGACGGCGGGGCCTGGGAGCGAGGGACGCCAGGGCGGAAGAGGCCGCCGGGCCGCGGGCGTGGGGACCGCCTTTCCCGGCCTCTGGCTCCCGGGCCCGGCGGGGTGCGCCCGCCACGCGCGCTCCCACCCTGCGATTCCACTCAGTGCATACAAGTCCGATGCTGTACCCGCAAAGGGTTGCTTCTCCCCACCCAGCTTTAATTAATTCACAAAGATTGCTGGCTTTTGTGATGTTTCGATGTGTGTCTACATTGTGAAATGATTGAGGCAAACAAATTAACATCCATGACCTCGCCGTTTTTTAGGGTGAGAATGTTATTAACTGTAGCCACCATCCTGCATGATAGATCTCCAGAAATTCCTCAGGCACTCTCTCTGAAACTTTGTACCCTTTGGCCAATATCTCCCCATTTTCAACCCCTCTTCACCCCCAACACCGATCCCTCTCCATCCCAGCAAGATTTGCTTTTGAACTGAGGGGCCTGCTAGTTGGTGGTTGAGCGCTAGTTAATTATGAACCGTTTAGGCGATTGCCAAATCTATCTGGCGATTTGGAGCCAACTCTGGAGGCGAGAGCTGCATCTTCTTCAGCTCTTCTGTAGAGTCAAAGGCTTTGGACCTGAATTCATATTCTAAATGTATTGCGACATTTTCTGGAATAAGAAACTTTTAAAAAATCGGAACAATTGTATGTTAGTGGAAACAAAAAAGATTGTAGTCATCTTTTCTACTGTTCAGTCATACAGTTGGTTTTTTTTTTTTTTTATGATCTTGATTATTGATCAGCAATATCCCAATTACCTAGAAGGTTAAAGCAGAATTTTATTTCCTGGTGAAGTATTATAAAGTCTTGATATAAAACAATCCACCACTCCAAAGGATCTGGATACAGCTATTGATAATCCTCCACCTTCTAGAATTTCAAATCCTTCTACTTGTGAGAATTTGCATTTCTGAATTTATTTGTTGGCCTCAATACATTTGCATATTTCTCTGCATCTGGCCACACAGCTAAAATAATCTGATGCGATATGTGCCAATTCTATTAGGGAACACCAAAAACTATCTCAAGCTTGGTTAGAATGTCATTAAATCATGTTTAAAATAAAATATATCCTAGAGATGCTAATGCAGATAATGAAGGTCTTGGTTTAACTGGAGAGCCATCCGGCTTATCTCTTCCTCTCATCTCTCTTCCTGTTCATTCCATGCATACTCTAGAATCAACATAGATTTTAAGTCATTCTTGTCAAATATTTTCAGTCTCTCCACTGCATTCAGAATAAAACCTAAGACCTTCTACCTCTACTATCTGCCTTCCCAAATACTGCAGTTGAACTATAGTCAAGACACTCATTATTATTCTGCTCTCTCAACAGAGAGGTTTAAAAAACAAACAACAAAAACCTTTGTTTTGGGGGCTACTCTATCTGGAATACCTTCTCCTCCTCCAGAATCTTCCACTATACTGTTCAGTTACCTTTGCAAATGCTGACCAGGTTACATCCTCATTATTTATTGTGTCTTTCCCACTAGTACAGTCGGTTATTCATACTCGTGGGTTCTGCATCTGTGGATTCAACCAGGTGTGAATAGAAAATAATTTTTTTAAAAAAAACATCTTTACTAAACATGTACAGAATTTTTCTTGCCATCATTCCCTAAACAATACAGTACAGCAGCTATTTGAATAGCATTTACATTTCATTAGGTATTTGTAAGTAATCTAGGGATCATTTAAAGTATACCAGATGATGTGCATATTTTTATATCAGGAACTTGAGCATCTGCAGATTTTGATATCCAAGGGGAGTCCTGGAACCAATTCCCCACAGATGACAACGGACACTGTACTGTGTCTTCTAAGTAGTCACTGACTGGGAAGGTTGACATTTTCCTTTTCTTAATCAATCTTTGACTTTTCTCCACATTTACCCAGGAGTACCTCTGCCAATTATTATGTAGCTTTATTTTAATTTTAGAAGTGCTATAGCAACAATTGACATTTGCTTAGCTGAAAAATTGACTGTGTCTGCCAACAGCAGAACATTAGCAAACGGAAATTTTTATGTACCATTTCAGCATGGACTGCCAATAACATGTGATTCTAAGACTTTAGAAATCTTGAGTAAATGTTTCTAATATGTATATGCTTTAAGTAGTTATGGTATGAATTCAACGTTTATACTTTCTTGTCCATGTTGTAGTCTTTCCAATGAATATTTTAATACCTCATGACATAATATTAGAAGAATATAACCATAAAATTACCTGTCATTATGCATTCAGGCTACTTCTCATTTTTCACTACCATAAAAAATATTATGAAGAAAAAATTCATGCATGTAACTTCTTTCCCACATTTTAAAATTGAAGTTAGAATACCAAATCAAAGGGTATAAGCATGTATTCTTTGCCAATACATATCATCACCAAAGAGCTATACCAATTTAAATATACTACCAATAACAATGTATAAGTGTATGATTATTTGGCTTTTTTTTTTTAAGTAGAGTTTTTTAAATTATAGAATTTTGAAATTTTTTTTTTTCTTTTTTTTTTTGAGTTGCAGTTTCACTCTGTCGCCCAGACTGGAGTGCAGTGGCCGCTGACGGCCACCGCAGCCTCGACCTGTTGGGCTTTGGCGATTCTTCTGCCTCAGCCTTCCAAGTAGCTGGAACTACAGGCACGCGCTACCACGCCCGGCTAGTTTTTTTTTATTTGCTGTAGAGATGAGGTCTCGCCAAGTTGCCCAGGCTGGTCTTGAACCCGCGGGCTCAGGCAATCCACTCACCTCAGCCTCCCAAAGCACGGGATTACAGGCTGAGCCACCGAGCCCGGCTGATTATTTGGCTTTTTATGCAAACAAATGTATGCAGGCTCTTCACATACAATACATGATTAAATTATATGAAAAGTTTGGGGTTTGTAACCTGAGCAACAGCTTTGGAATAATTAAGATTAGTGTTACTACTGGTTGAAATTAAAGCTTATTAATTTCTTTCCTTAACTCTTTAATATAATTTGTGATGCAGGATCATGTTTAAGGTAATGCATGGAAAAGGATAGTCTTGCCTATATAATATGGGTAAAAGATGACCAGGCATCAGAACCTGTGAAATAGGGATCAACAACACAGTCTCTGTATCCAACTGACATTTAAACTGAGAAGGTACCTAATTCATCACCACAAAGGGTCATTTGAAAGTGATTACTAAACTTTACTATAAAGCTTTAATCATCAAAACAGCCTGATATTGGTACAAGAATAGGCATATTGGCTAATGGAACAGGACAGAGATTCTGGAAGCAAAACCTCAATTTCTCAACCAACTCATCTTTGACACAGCCTCCACCATCCACCACTGGGGAGAGGAGAACCTATTCAGCAACTGGTGTGGGGAAAACTGGCTGACCACATGCTGAAAATCGAAACAGGACCCCTACCTATCACCATACACAAAAGTCAGCTCTAGGTGGATCAAAGACCTAAACATAAAACCTCAAACTATAAGAATTTTAGCAAGTGGAGGAGACACCCTTATGGAAATTGGAACTGACAGCCAATTCCTGATCAAAGCCCCAAGTACCCATGCCATAAGAGATAAGATTGAAAACTGGGACCCCATCAAACTGAAAAGCTTCTGCAAAGCCAAATAAACCATCAAGAGAGTGGGGAGACAGCCCACAGAATGGGAAAAAAATATTTTTCAACTGCATGTCTGACAAAGGCCTAATATCCAGGATCTACAAGAATGTGACAAAAGAAAAAAACAAATAGCCACATTAAAAAGTGGGCAAAAGACATGAATAGACACTTCTCAAAAGAAGATATTCGGGCAGCCAACAAACATGAAAAAGTGCTCAGCCTCACTCATCATCAGAGAAATGCAAATCAAACTACACTGAGATACCACCTAACCCCAGCAAGAATGGCAATCATAAATAAAACAAACAACAGATGCTGGCAAGGATGCAGAGAAAAAGGCACGTGTCTACACTGCTGGTGGGAATGCAAACTAGTGCAACCTTTTTGGAAAACAGTGTGGCGATTTCTAAAAGAACTAGACATCGACCTTCCACATGACCCCGCATTCCCCCTACTGGGAATATACCTGGAGGAACTCAAGTCAGTCTACAAAAAAGATACCTGAACAAACATGTTTATTGCAGCACTATTCACAATAACAAAAACATGGAACCAACCATGCTGCCCATTGAAACTGGACTGGATTAAAAAAATGTGTACACAATGGAATATTATGCAGCCATAAAGAAGGGCAAACATATGTACTTTGCAGCAACTTGGATGAATTTAGAGTCTATCATACTCGGTGATCTATCACAGAAACAAAGAACAGAATACCACATGTTCTCACTCCTAAGCAGACCCTGTACATTTACCCTGAACCTAACACTGTAAGAAAGGGATTGCCCATAGTGGATACTGTGCTGGGGTGGCGGTGGAGGGGGAATTCAACATCAATAAGGATATCTGATCTCAAACCAGGCAAAGTGGGGACCAAAGGGAGGCCCAAACTTTACCTGTATGATGACCAATTGTATACCTAATCCTGAATTGTACCTCACATCTTTAAAATTAAAAGAAAGTGTTTACTAGAGTGATTTCTCAGAAATTTGATGTGAAGATATAATTGATTTTAGGGACAACCAAAATTACTTTATCCATCAACTTATTACTATCCCTGAGATATTTCTATAATCATTATGTCGAAAGAGCAGGACTCAGGATACAAATTGTTAACTCCCACAAGAGAAGAGGATTAAGCAAGCTATTAAATGATTCCCTTGTGGAAGAAATTTTTAGATAAGAAATGTTTTGATAATTGTTACTAAACTGGATTCAAAATCATTAGACACCAGACTGTTTGTCAGTTAATTTCCCAGAAGTGGCTCTAATCTCAAACAATTTATCAGAAAATTGCTTAAGCATTTGATCAGGAAAGCATATTTCTTTTTTTTTTCTAGTTAATCATTTTATTGCTTGAGTACATAGACAAATTCATGCAACCAGGGCAGAGGCTGTGGATGACTCATATTTCCAACTGGGAGGGAGGACTCACTGGGTCTTGTAATACCCAGTCAATCGGTGAATTCGACTCTCTCTCAGAAATAGGCGGGATTTAGCATCCTTATCCTTTCTGTTCCTCTCAAGATGCTTTCAAACAGCAACTGCTTTTGCTCCCCTCTCCCCAAACAGCAACTGCTTTCTTAATTAAATGGTATAGAGCCTCAGGAAGATCAGGAGCAAGCCCTTTCGACTTAAGGATGCTCAAGATTTTATTGCCTGTCACAAAGCGTACTTGTGCCACACCACATGAGTCCCTCAGGATCACACCGATCTGTGAGGGAGTCAGGCCCTTCTTGATCAGTTTGTAAATCTTCTCCTTCATGTCGTCAGACATCAGCTTCAACCAAGTGGGGACGCTACGGCGGTAGGGCAGCGCCGATTGGTCAGGCCCTTCCCAGGGGCAGGCATGCGACCCATGATGGCGGCGGTGGGGTGCAGAAAGAAAATCATATTTCTTCCCAGAAGAAGATTCTGCTCCAGGGTTAACCAATTTTTCTTTATTACAGTCCAATTCAATGTTAAAATCTCAGAAGGATATGTAATATTAACCCTTCCCTCTTCCCAGCTTGGTACTGCATAGGTGAAAGTGAGGAGAGGGCAAGGTTGATCCTTCTCCTTGCCTTAATTTCCCTCTACCTAGCTGAAAATGGAAAGAAACCCAGTATGGGCTCTCTGGAATTGGCAAGTATTCAAAGCTGATTAGTTCTTTTGCAGGATCATTTTGGGGGGATTTAGAGCTTTACACCACTAGGAAACCCTGACTGCTGCTGGCTGTGCTGACCGTAGTGCCTGTGCTTTGTTCTGCCCCATCCCAGATTCTGTATGAAATGCTACACCTCCAACCTTTTTCTGCGGAGAGAGACCAGCTCCCAGCAAGAAGGCCATCTGGGTGGCATCCAAATTAAACTGACCACAGGGTTAGATCTCTCTCTCCCATCACATCTTATTAGGGAGACTCATATCTCTGCCCTACCATTGTGAGAGGTCACAGATTGCTCTGAATTCAATCACCTCTCTTTGCTTGGCAGACACTATTCAGACATCTCCAGCCATCGCCTTTCCTCTTTACTTTCCTCAGGTATGGGTCAATGACCTGTCCCTCATAGCTCCAAGCAGGAAATACCAAGCTCTCAAAGACATTCTCTTAAGGACTCTCTCACTGGGCTTGGGGGGTGAGGGAAAAACACCCTGCTTCTCTTTTCCATGGTAGGAGGGAAAAGCCACAGCTCTCCAGTGACTCTCCCCAAAGAAATATTCTGGAGCCTGAAGTGGGTGTTGGACTAAGATTCTTAAAATCCATTTTAACTATCCCTTTTGTGACTGGGCATGGCGGCTCAAGCCTGTAATCCCAGCACTTTGGGAGGCCGAGGTGAGGGGATTGCCTGAGCCCACGGGTTCGACTCAGCCTGGGAAGCTTGACAGGCAAGCCCTCATCTCTACAATTAAAAAAAAAAATTAGCCTGGCATGGTAACACATGCCTATAATTACAGCTACTTGGAAGGCTAAGGCGGAAGGATCGCTAGAGCCCAGCAGGTCGATGCTGGGGTGGCCAGGAGCGTGCCACTGCACTTGAGCCTGGATGATGGATGGAGTGCGACTCCAACACAAATAAATAAATAAATAAATAAGTAAATAAATAAATAAATAAATAAATAAAATACCCCTTTTGCACAGCGCATGTAGGTATACCCATGATCTTGTTTTCAGTCTCAGGTTTCAGACAAAAGCCTCATTTTTCAAATCAACAGAATTCAATATATAATTGGAGTCTAATATGAATATGTAAACTGAAATGAGACAAACCATTGGGGAAATTTGAACACAGCCTGACTATTTTTTTTTTTTTTTTTGAGTTGGAGTCTCACTCTGTTGCCCAGACTGGAGTGCAG